AAATGCTTCACTTCGAGCAATTCGTACAACTTCCTCCAATCAATCTATAATTACATAATATCGATCTCATGTTAATTTTCTTGTTTAGGCTAAATCCATCACTAGTTTAGAATACCCAATCCTCCGAGTTAACTCTTAATTTGCCGAATTATAGTTACCCACATATGAGCAATAACTAATCTATCAACTCCAACCTATTCGTATAATATACCCAGTTAATTTACGAAAAACTCTCGTGAATTTCTCCAAATTTCCTTAGCTTTATCTTTCAAATTCTTAATCCAATTCCAAAATTATATCTACTCAGCCCTATCAGAATTATGTATATAAAATTCCATTGTCTTAAAAGAGGAATAAATACATGTAACTACTTGGAGTGTATTGCTGAAACCCAAGGAATTGTATGCCAAAGATTAGATGAAACACAATCTTCGGCGCTAAAGAAACACCCGAGACTCTCTTTCGTTTGTTTTTCCCATTTGATGCTTTCTTCCTTTCCTTCTAGGGATTTTTTTTTTCTTCTGAAACCCGTTGCTTCTGTCTGAGTTTTCCCTTCCCCTAATCCCTTTCAATTTGGTAGATAGATGTTTGTTTTGTTTGTTCTTTTTTCTTCTTTTTTTTTCTAACCCTTGTAACTTGTGCCACGTTAATGGGCTAAGCCCACTTGTATTCTTTCTTCTTTATGTTTGTTTATTTAGTTTCATTGTTTGTTTGTTTGTTTTTTTGTAGTTAGTTTCTTATAGTTATTATTATTATTATTATTATTATTATTATTATTATTATTATTATTATTATTATTATTATTATGCTAATGACCAATACACCCCTATAAAAAAAATATAGGGTATTACGGGATTATAACTCTAGTTTTATGTATTGAAGCATTTTTGGATGATTTAATTATTGCATCTATATTCATTTGTTCATGTAATCGAGATAGGCATAACTTGTGATATCTTTGCATTATATTGTTGGTTGAGTTCATAGATTCTTCTAAGTAATCGAAAAAGATTAGTTGAATCATTGATTAAACCTAGTTAGGAGGATAATCGAGAAAGGTTCTCCCAAAGACCAATCTACTACGCATTCTTGCATATTTTTACAGGCTTAAATTGGTTCATCTTGTGAGGTTAAGACTTAATCAAGAGAGGAGTTTTGTTGAACATTTGAACTAATAATTGAGTGAATTCGAGAGACTCACTTGAACATTAGAAGTGAATTATCTAGAGTTAGATCTCAAACAATTATCTTGCACCTATCCTATCAACCCCTATTTTCTCCCATTGATAAATTCCTTGCTTACCTTTGTTGCGATTATCATTAGTCAATAGCTTTAGATTCTTAGTTAATTATAGTTAGAAATCATACAAATCTTAATTGTTGATTATCTTGTATAGCAATCAAGCTAGAAACTACAAGAATACTGTTTAAATCCAATCCCCGAGGATACGATATTATACTATACTATAATTGATTAGCAAGCATAATTTAGGTGTGTGTTTCGAGATCGTCAAATTTTGGTTCAGCGCCTGTTGCGCCTCATTGAAAAGACACGACACATCCACCTCGTTCATTTTCTCCTGGTCCTCCTTGGTCACCAGACATCGGAGGTAGCTGGCTAAGCCCACGGGAGCAGATAGAAACCGGGCATCCTCCGGGACAGTAGGAATAACCGCTCTCTTGCGACCAGGGTCCACACTCGGAGCGGGAAACTGATTAACCAACTTTGGGCTCGAACTCGGCTTGCCAGCTTCCGAAGATACATACTTCTTCTGGACTTCTTCCGAAAAAATCTTCCAAAGTAGACGAAACCACATCATCAAAGAAGGAATGAAGGGGGTCGTCTGCACTTTGGGCTTCTTCACTTGACTTCTCCTTTCCTACTTGGGCCTCCTCAAGCATGAACTTAGTATAAGAGGGCATCCCCATGATTTCTATTATACCGTCGCTTTCTTCGGTGCAAAACTAGCTTCTCGGGGTGTCTCAATCCCCGTCTCCATATCGGCCTCTCGAGTCTGAGGGAGGTCGTCCTCACGAATCTCCCCATCGGCTGTCGTCTGCTCCCCGGGAGGGGTCGATAAATGGGCAACTAAAATGTCGTCTTCTTCCGACTCATCCCTGAGCCGGAGAAATGAGTCGAAATGTGGCACCCGGGAACTGATACTCTTCTTGGGCTTACGAGTCACCCTCTTCTTTGGATTCACCTTGGGACCTGGGGAGCCCGAAGATTTTCTTTTCCTCTTCTTATTTTCCCCCACGATAGCCCTGGGCTGTCCCGTAACTGAGGGATCAACAGATAAGGACACGTCCTCCAACGGCCTAAGGTCAGTGGTCTTAGGTAAACCTGTGAAAGAAATAAGAATGGTCAGTGTTATGTAAGTTAATAGCACGGAAACGACTATTCAAAAGAGAACCTTACCATGAGAACGGGCCTCCCATCGACCCTTTGAAACTTGCGCCATGAGCGCTCGAAGTATGACATATGTTTGCAGATGCCTTCGATCCACTCTTTGAGCCAGTGGACCGCATTTGGAACCCGGGCAACAGCTGCACAACCACAAATACAAATGATGAAAAGGGAAATGAGGAAAAATTGGCACTTAAGGAAAGGCTGCACTTACAAAACGCATTCCACTTCTCGGGGAATGGCATAAACTCGGGGGGTCAGATCTTCGGTCTTCACCCGAATGAAGCGTCCCTGCCATCCTTGGTCTCGATCCTCATCAATGCTGGAAAAAGGGGCCTTGCTGGACCGGCGAGTAAGCTTGGTTAGTCAATGCATCCAAAAATTAATCAATGCATCCAAAAATTAAATGAATGGTTAGACATAAAACGTTTTTTTACTTATCTAGGTCTGCTTACGTTTAGATCTGGTATTCTTTTTTCTTGAACCAAATAGTGAAAATAGTTTTCTTGATCCATACATATTTGAATTCAAAATTACTACTACTCCGTCTAATATTCTTTCCTTTTTAGTCTGTCCAAAAAAAATATCATTCTATTTGGTAATGTTCAAATTTAAATTATTTTTTTTATCTTTAATGGGATAATTTCTAGTCACACAAATTTCTATAAATTTACTTAAACCACAAATTTGAAAAGTTTTCCTCTATTTCTTAAATTCTAAATCTCTAACACAAGAAATGAAATCGTCCGTTCCGGTCCGTCTTTAACATCCATGCATGCAATCTTTAATTCAAACAGAATTGATAAATAAATACATCACCCTGTCATCCTCCTGTAACATTCTTACTTATCCCGAAATTAGGAAGTAATGTTTTTTTTATTTGTCAGCTTTATTCAGAAGAACGAAAGCATGCACTATAATTTAAGTTTCAACCCATCATTTGGGAGGGCTAAAGCTAAACCATTTGCCTGCGCAATTATCCAAAAAATGAAGTGTTTTGTCTCTACACAATAGGACATGGACTCCTTTATATGATCAAATATTTGTACCTTTTCTGTACTTTTACTCCAAAATCAATACTTTTATTTTGTGTGTTTGTTCCTTTTCCCTTGAAAGTTGCTGCACGTGTTATTTGTTATGAATTGTTTCATTTTTCTTTGGAGGTTGTGCTTGAAGTTATTTATAGTATAAAACTAAGAGTTGTCTTTGTGTTTTTTCTTTTTTGGCTTTGGGTATTTAGTATTCGGAATTCAATGGCTCGATTAAGTTGAACTTGCGTCGGATAGGCTCAGAGAAAGCACTTATTGGCGAAAAAGTTCTCTATTATCAAGCTTGGAACTTAAAACCTCTAATTAAACGTATAAGAATACCAAGTCAAGGGCGAATATAGTATTCTATTAACTGATTTAATTGAATTCATAACTTTCGATGCGGAGTATAAATTTATGTGTAAAAAAAATTATTAAAATTACAAAAAATAATATATATGAACTCATAACTTTAAAAGTATAACAGGTTTTTAGTAAAGTTTAAACTCACAGAATTTTAAATCCTGAATCTGCCTCAGATCAAGCCATCCCATGCACCCCTTGGTGGTACAGTTAAATATATACTCCATATCTTTGTTTCTTTTTCTAAATTTATTCCTATTTAGTAATGTTTGAGATAGCAACTTACTATAGATTGTGGTGTTGTTAAATTACTGATGAACTGCCGGCCGACAAGGTCATAGAATCTGGCGATTATGGAAATGGAAGATGGATTTTGTCTTTGTACTGTATATATTTGTGTCACTTTCTTGGGGAGGAGATCATGGGCTATTGTCCATAATAAGTTTTTCGCTTAACAATTGTGACTATTTTAGTATTCATTTCTTGGGTTTGAGTAAAGGCAATTAATCCAAACACCACATTCCACACTCCACTTCGTGCTACGTAATTTAGCTCATCCAAGAAAGAATAACGGAGCTTTTGCTTTATTAATTGTTTATTTATTAAGTACTACTTCATTATATATCGTAACTGTTGTATTTGGAATATTAAACAATTTTTCTTCGAGTACAACTTTAAACTTAAAAAAGAACTTTTTCTTTTCTTTTCAAAAAAGAAATAGGGCCTAATGATTTCTATTTTACGTATAGTTTTGAGTTGTTTTATTTCAATACTTTTATAAAGCGATGTTTGGATTCACACTGAATATTGTAGTAAATATCATGTTGTTTTTTTGTTTTCTGTCATTCTTACAAGTAGAAGCTTTTCTTTTCTTTTGCCTCATCCCTGGACCCAGGGATTGTCGGTCACATCTATCTCAAGCATATTCAAATCTAGTAATCGTGTCATATCCGCAACGAAACTGACAGAAGGAAAAAGTGAAAATTGATGGTAATTCTCAATCATCTTCAACGTAAATTCGTTGATTATATCCATTGTATGTCGAAACAAATGACACAAAGTAGTGTTAATTAGTAATTGAATTGACACTCTGATAAGCATTACCGATTACTACGTTTAATGATTAGTTTGTTTGATAGCTTACATTCGCAAGATCAATTAGTCTCAACAAATCATTGCTCTCGTTGAATTTAAGAAATTTGTAAAAATCAACAATACTAAATTTTCCGTTACTGACAGCAAGGATACAGTTTTACATTGTGAAAGAGCCAATCTTTTACAAGAACGTAACATTGTTTGTTGATACAAATAAATAATAAATAAAAATAAAAAGAGCCACCCCATGTTATATTTTTCTTTGTATTGGGTATTAAATTAGGACTGAAATTTGAAACTACCAGCTGAAAATCCACCATCAACATGAATAATCTGACCAGTAATGTGTGAAGCAGCAGGAAGACAAAGGAATGCCACCACTGGCGATATCTCATCTGCCTCTGCTATTGGTTTCAAAGGTGTTCTACACATCAGTTCTGAATAATTTCCCAATAATGACGGGTCAATATCCTCCTGCAAATTATAGCTAAAGTTATAAATAAAAACATTGAGAAAGAGACTATAAACACAACGTTTCTTTGCATGCTTAGGAATATATAGACATCTACAGCGTCGACAACATTACATATCAAATTTGAATACTTCCTTCCAAAATCAATAGAGTATGTTCTTTCCTCATTTTATGATAATGATTCATACCATTCACACTAGAAAATATCTATTTAAAAGAATTAATTCAAAACTCATATATAATTGGAAGAAAATATGTTACTGCTGAGGTGCAAATTTGGATATTAGGAACATTACCGGTTTCAAAATGTTGGTTTTGACAGCAAAGGGAGAGACTGTGTTAACGCGGATTCCATCACTAGCCCATTCGCACGCCAAAAATTTCGTCAGCTGGTTGATTGCACCTATTATATAAAAGAATAATCATTAATTTGACATCAAGAAATTTTTCAATCAATAACCGAAATATTATGTTGCATGAAGAAGGCTAATAATTTAGCGATATATATAGGTGAAAGTCCAATTCTCAATTTTCTCCTTTCTTTTCCTGATCTTATAATGTGATAGAGATTTGTTTTTTAAAAGGCAGTTCGGTGTATGAATTATTATGCATTCACAGTTCTAACCCGTGACATATACGATACACAAAGACAACTTTATCGTTGTATCTAAGGTTCCCCTTCCGAAATAATTTTCGTTTTTAAGGAAAATATAAAGAAGTGTTAAGCTGAAATATATAGTTTCATGTGTTAGTAATTTTACCTTTAGAAGCTCCATAGACAGAAAGTGCAGGTAGTGCAACTGAACCAGCAAGGGAAGAAATGAAAACAATGCTAGCTGCATTTCCACTTGCTTTCAAGAGAGGGTAAGCAATTTGGGTCAAGTGGAAAGGGGACTCCACATTAGTTCCCATAATCTTTGAATAATCTTCTGCACTAATATCCGCAGCTCTTTTTATCATACTTATCGCAGCATTATTCACCTATAATAAATTTCCATATGAAATAAAATGAACAAGATTATAATCAATTACCATATACTCTCTTCGGTCCATATTATTTAATATTTTAAGACATATTTATCTCTTTTAAATATTTCACTTAATTTGCCAGAACTAGTAATATGTGAGATGGGAGGGTGTAGTTACACTCTCATAGGCGACCTATGCTTCGGAATAAGGGGTCACCGGACCCCGTTAACTTTGACAAATTTTTTGAATATATAAGAATATATATGTTAAAGACAATCATATATTTTACTTGGAATCTTTAAAATTAAAAGTGTAATGTAGACACTAATTGAATAGTTTGATCATATGCTCCGCCATATTCAAATTCTAGTTCCGCCTCTTTGTTAAGATATATATACTTTTAGAAAATACATATAATGCAATGGCCCTATATGTCAGTAAGTAGTTCCAAGAGATGAGAATTAGCTATAATAAATACAAGAAAACGACAGGAGAAAATATAACGTTTCCAGTATTCCAATTTTGTCTTCTATCATTGATGCTGTTGGAAGTTTGTCACCTAAATTTGGCCTTTATTGGCCTTTCCTGTTCTAATCTGATTTCACTTATATCTTGGCATGTGTCTACAATGACGAGGGTGTTTACGTTACAATGTCTGGAAAATTCAACAGAGAGGTTTTACGTCATTTTAATAGCTGTCTCATTTAATACATGTTATATTTACTATTTAAAGAGTTAAATAAATTAAAATCCGTCTTTACATATTTAATACATGCTTTTATTTATTTAAGTTAGAGATTTCTAAAAGGAAAAATCAGTAGTATATTTTATGTCCCTGAATTTCGTCTCATTTAACATGATTATTAATTCATTGTTCAAAGAGTTGCTGCATTAATTAAATTCCTTTATGAATCTAAAATAAATATGCATAATACTTTTACATATTCGTGAAATAATGTATTTGTTTCTAAAAAAAATATAAAGCAAATGGTTTCTAAAATTAAATTCAGACATTAAGAAGATTGACCTTGGTAACTCTCTCTCCACGCGGGCTAATCTGGATTAATTAATCAGCTCGATAAATTTCAGACGTTAATTAGTGACTAAATAAAAAGTATTGTGGTAACTCAAATTCCTTGGTATATCAGAAATAACTTTTCTATCGTCACAAAGGTAAGGTCTTGTCTATATTTTACCCTTCTCAGACCCATTTTGTGGGATTACACCGAGTTTGTTATTTTAGTTGTGTTAACTCAAATTCCATAAGGATGGACATATTGGTTTTAGGGAGATCGATTTTTTTTCGTCTCTCTGTTGTAATTAACGATTTCAGTAGAGAAAAAATAGTAATTAGCAAGGAGACTTACCAGTATATCGAGCTTGCCCTCAAACACAGAAGAAACAGTCTGAATAAGTTGTTCTCTCTCTTCTTTAATATACAAATCACAAACAGAGCCAGTCACCTTAAATCCTTTGCCTTTCCATTCTTGTATCTTCTCATCAAGTTCTTTCTGGTTTCTTGAACATGTATGTATAGTTGCTCCAAATCCTGCTAATTCCTCCACTATTGCAAACCTAAATAAAAAAAAAATGAAAAGAGAAACAACTGAAGAAAACTGTAGTAACATAGCAAAACCAGGATTTTCACCAAATGGATTCAAAAACAAAAAACAAATAAACGCACCGAAGAAACTAAGATGATTCAAAATCTAATACTATATTAAGTGTATATACACAGCTGAATCCTTTCCGCCTATCTAGCTCCGCCCCTAGTTGTAGACACCTAATTTTTGACCCTCGGTTTTCAAGAAGAACGAACTCAACAAGTCAAGAATGACTTACCCAATACCTCTGGTTCCACCTGTAACTAAAGCTGTCTTCCCATAAAGAGACCATTTCTGGAGTTTGTTACTACTGCTACTCTGTTCTTGCTCAGTTGCCATGCCTATATCTCTCTTTAATTGCTCAAGAATTCAGACGAATATATACCTTATGTAGTAAACGTAAATTTCAAGATCTAACACTTTGTATTTCTTGTTTGCAGGCTGCAGGATTGGATACAAGGAGAGCGTTATTATTTATAGCTCAAGTTATTCCCTTCCTAAGATTTATTAAAAATGAAAATCAGACGAGAAAGTCAATGTAAATAGATCGACGGCTAAAAATGATGGAGGGAACTTTAATGGAGATCAATGGTTGTAGAATATGGATCCATTTTTTGTTAATTATTTTTGTTTTCTTAGTTTCCTAGAAAGTAGAATAAGGCAATAAGGTATCGAGGAGGTTTTGAGTGGTTGGAGATAATTGACCAATGATTTCCTTTATTATTTAAGTTATATACATATGTAGGGAGTATAAAGATTTTTTAACACTAATAATGTAATTTAACTTATGATAGCATATCAATTACAATTATTTATTAGGTTATCAAATTACTAATATTTTATCATAAAGTTTTACTTGCAATTATCTTATACTCCTAATTGAATTGATTGTGTATATATTTTTTACATTGCCGATGGCCGATGCACTTTGGTTATGTTATTACTTTGTTACGTAATTTTAACAGGAAAAAAAAAAAAGAATCGTGAAAGAGGGCAGGCTATTTAATTTGTTTCACTTCAAACTTAGCTGTATTTCCAGTTGCACTCTGTATTGTATACTCAGAATACTGAATACGAGTCAACACTTACTTCATTGGCAGATATAACAGAGAACGGCTGTACTTATATTCCCTTCCATTTACCGATTGCTAAGCTTTTCTCATTTTCTATTTAGTCTAAAATTCTGATTTAAAACAAGTAGCATGATTTGACATTAATTATTTGACGTCCAAGCAGTGTAAAGACTCTAAAATTAACTCATGTTCCATATTTAATTTTCTTTGCAGTAAACATTTCAGGCACCTCGCTCTAAGATAATAGTAATAAAAATCCACCTATGTTACTAACATTTATTTTAGCGAACTGAAGTAAACTGAAATCCCCAGACTATAGGTACTATATGGGGGTCAACACACTTCAACCACGGAGCTAGCCTTTCGGTTGCGGTTGCGGGTACGTGCCCAGTAGCTTTAGTCAAAATTTTGTACTTGTTTTAAGAAATTTATTGAATATATTTAGAACCCAGTAACTTAAACAGACAAAAATTTTAAACTCATAAAATTCAAATCTTGGCTCCACCTCTGTAATAAATCAACAACTTAAGTGTATTCAAATCAATTTAGCAGTAAAACCTCCTACTTTGTGCAAGTCATTTGCCTTCCTGACACACTTAATTGTACTCAAATCAATTTAGCAGCAAAATCCCATACTATTTCTGGAAGTGACTATTTGTTCAATGTGTAGGAACCTTCTATTTTTACCTTCATATGATTTCTGGCAGCTTTTTTATTTAAATATGTAATAAAAGAGTATAAATTAGAAAACAAAATACCCTGTGACATACATCTCCACAGTGGGGACAACACACTCTCTTGATGAAAAACAAAATATTCGCAGCTATATAGGTTTGGGAGGGTCAGTTAAGTGGCATCACATACCATAGCAGAACACATTTTAAGAATACATTTTGAACAATAATGAAAACTCAACGATATCTCAATTGTAGTAAAACAAAATGATTAAGTCTCGAGTTCGAGCTTCAACAATAAATTTTTTTTGGAGAAAGTGTTTTATCATGGACCTATCGACGCGAATATGCCAGTACTACTGCTTTTTATACAAACGTAGTACGTAGCTTTTACACATGTAATTTTTATTTGAAAATATTAGTTAATAAATATCTGATCTTGCACTGCTAGTGAGATAGACAATCATCAGATTTCGAGCTCTATCATTTTCTTTGAACGGAAAGAGTACAACTAATCATTGTTACGAGGGAAGTCGTTCAACTATCACCTCTTCGTTGAGCTGTTAAGAAGCCAACATAATATTCGAGGTGCCGCGAACTAATCCCAGCACTATTTGTTATGATCGAAAAAGTCCGTTGTCATGCGAAAGTTAGTAAAGCAACAATTGAACGACGATAAATCAGAAAACAAAAAAGAAATATACCAAAAGAGACACAAATATTTAACGTGGTTCAATCAACTGATCTACGTCAACGGTTGTTGAACTGGAAGAATATTTGACATCTAGGCCTCGCCAAAAAGGAGCCCAACTTGTGTAATTTTATTTTGTATAGTTAATAGCGGACGGGCCAGTAGCACTTAGGCCCAAAGTATATATATCATTTTATATATGTTTTGTAATAGATTTTTCATTCTTTTGGACAGAACATAACAGATTTAATCGAGAAGCTTCCATCTTCTTCTTCTCTCTATTCTCCTTAACCCTAACTGAGTTCTCATGGCAATTTCGTGGATCTCCAAATTTATCATGGTATCAGAGCGAGGATTCACGTAGATCTCGCGCACAGCTTTCGTCCGATGGTAGCCTCACACGATTTTGTGGATTTTCTCTCATCTTCGTCTCATCTGTGCTTCGTCGGATTTGTTGATTTTTTTGTTGTTTTCTCTCATTTTGAAGGTCGTTCTTCTTCCGGTAGCGAAGAAGTGTGGTAAATCTGAACCTGTTATCACTCATTTGTCTGTTACAATTGGTTTTCCCTTGTCCTAGTGTTTTGCATGTGTAGATTTTCGCATAAAATTGGCGTGATTCTGTTGTTTTCAATATGACTCTGGGAGATAGTACCAGCTCCTCTTCTACATACTTCCAGACCCTCGAGTCCTCTGTTTATACATTCATCTGATATTCCTGGCACTTCCTTAGTGTCCATACCATTTGCTAGTACCGGGTTTGGGGGTTGGAAGAGAAAAATCATAGTTGCTTTGTCGGCAAAGAATAAAATAGCTTTTATAGATGGCATCTGTCCCAAACCATCTGATAATGCACCAGAATTAAAGTTTTGGAATAGATGTAATAATATGGTGATATCCTGGTTGACTAGTTCTCTCTCTCCAGAGATTTGCTGGGAGCGCGTTCAATACTCTGAGTCTGCTGAGTGTATTTGGAAGCAACTCGAAACCAGATATGATACTGTTAATGGGACCAAAATATTTGAGATTAAGAAGGAATTAGCTTCCACTTGATAGAGATGTTGTATATTGCATCCTATTTTAATAAATTGAAGAGGTTGTGGGAGGCCTTCATGTGCCAGCATTCTGTTGTAATTGTCCCTTGCAAAAGGAATTGGAGGAGGACAAGTTATATCAATTTTAATGGGACTTAATGAAATATATGTTAGTATTAGGAGCAATCTTCTTATGAGACAACCACTTCCTTCTCTTGACATTGCCTACAACATATTGCTCCAAGATGAGAGTCAGAGGAATATTAGTTCTACTCATCAATTCAATTCAGACTCAGCCTCATTCAATGCAACTGTCAATAATTATGCCAAGTTTCCTCCTCCAAAACAACAGTATAATCAAAAGATAAATTTCGATCAAATGGCAAATGTTGATCAGGGCAAAGTCCCCATGTTTTGCAAATAATGTAAGAAGTATGGGCACTTAATTGATAAGTNCTCTTTACAGATTTACCATCCATGAATTATGTTAATTCTTCATTTGTTGTTCCTAGTTATACATTTACTTGTAATTCTCTTGTTTCTAGTTCCATTCATGTTTCTTATGTTTCTGCATCAACTTGTAACTATAGTTGTCCTAGCTTACCAAATGTGTGCATTATTATACCTAGTTGTAATACCACTTAAATGAATAAAATGGATGTTCTTTGGCATCAAAGACTTGCTCATGTTCCCTTTGTTAGAATGAAATTGATTTCTGGCTTATCTTAACTATCATCCAAACAACCTTTTATTTGCAATGTTTGTCCTATGTCAAGGCAAACTAGGCTGCCTTTTCCATATAGCTCCACTACTACTACCAAACCTTTCTAACTCATATACATTGATACATTTTATCATACAACTACATATTCTGGGGATAGATACTTCCTTACCATTGTAGATAATTATACAATAGCTACTTGGACACATCTAATGGGGGCTAAAAGCAATGCATTTCCTTTGATAAAAGCATTCCTTGCAACGGTCCAGACTCAATTCAATACTAAAGTTCAAACCATTAAAAGTGACAATGCCTTAGAACAAGGTTCAAGCCATTCTGCCTCTACCTTCTACTCAGAGCATGGAATAATTCATCAAACTAGTTGCCCATATACTCCTCAACAAAATGGAGTAGTTGAAAGAAAACATAGAACACTTCTTGAGGCCTCTAGAGAATTGCTATTTCAGTCTAGTTTACCACTACAATTTTGGGGTGATTGTTTATTGATTGCCACTTATATAATTAATAGGTTACCCTCTAAACTTCTCAATGACATATCCCCTTTTGAAATGTTGTATGGCAAGGTGCCCACCTATTCTCATTTGAGATCTTTTGGTTGTTTATGCTATGCCACGATTCATATACCTCACATGGACAAGTTAAAGCCCAGGGCTGCCCCATGCATCTTTCTTGGATATCTATTTGCTAAGAAGGGTTACAAACTCAACAATTTAACCACTAAGAAATGTCTCATTTCTAGGGATGTCATATTTCATGAGCACTATTTTCCTTTCTCTCAATCCTATCCTACAACCACTTCTATTCCATATCCTTGTATACCTATTTATGCTCCTTCTACTATTTATCCTGAATCCTCTAATTCTCCCCCCCCCCTCCATCCTCCTCTTCCCTTTTTGATACTGCTTCTCCTTTATCTCCCTCTTATCCCTCTCCCCATTCTATTACTGTTGCTTCATCTTCCTCTCCTACCTCTTCTCCTTCTATTACTGTCACTCCTTCTTCCTCCCCTTCTTCTTCTGTTGCTCCTGCCCCTATCTCTTCCACTCCTTCATTTTCTATTCCTTCTCCTCCTCTGAGAAGATCCTCCAGGGACCATCATCTTCCCACCTATCTTCAGGACTATGTTTATTCTTTTTCCAGAACATCTTCCTCTTCTTGTTCTAATTCCATTCTTGAGCATGCTGAATTTGAACCTAGTACATATTCTCAGGCAGCCTCCATTCCTGTTTGGCAAGATGCAATGAGAAAGAAAT